AATAATATATCTATGCAGACACATCAAGTATATTAATAAAAGACAAGCAAAAGAAAATATAAATATAAAACATGATGAATGCTACAGGACTTAAAAAATCATAGTTATCTAGGAGACTGCCTGATAATGCTGCTTTTTCTTGGAATTGTGAAGAGCTCTTCTTTCTTCCTTCAATTTGATCAAAGTGTGCTATACATAGGGTAATCTTTTTTAAGTTACTAGGAAATCACCCCTTCTAATTTATAGTGCTGCTACAGATTTTTTTCCTATTTTTATTTTTCATTAATAATTTCATAAGACAGTTTTTTTCTTGTTTGTTGTCGTTTGTACTATTTCAAGGCCTTTTATCCCTTCTCTTCATTAGTTTCTAAAGAAAGTTAAAAGCCTAAGAGACAACAGCGATGTGAAATCAACATGGCACTTTATTATAGGTCGAACATCTGCCTTGCACAACACAGGACTTTCAAAGATGAGTCTGGACAAGCGGCTTAACCTCAAGGCCTGGCCAAGTTGTTCACTCAAAGACCCCTACCTTACCAACCCAGGCCATCTCCTGGGATTCAAGGACCCCAACACCTCATGAGTGAGGGATAAAAGAAAACAAGTGAGCAGTTTATCTCTCTTGAGCCTTGAGCTGAACCGCTTAAAGAGGACAGGGCACCTGTGTATGTATCTTCTTAACACAAATTGACCTTGCCTGTTAGTAAACAGAGCTTCCCTAGCATCTTGGCACGTGAACAATCAGATAAGCAACATCACCCGAGAGCTAGACCAGCAAGGGAGGAAGGAAGCTGCTTCTAAGCTACACAATGGTTTTCCCCAAGTGAGAGTCACCTATTGCAAGAAGGGTTACGCACACAGGCTGAGTAACAAATGTGGGACACTAGACCTCAGTGTCCAAGGACTGGAGAGCAACATGGTTAAACATGTGGATGTCGATTTTCATATGCTCCACCTGATTATTTGCAGGATGTGAACAATCAGCCCGATTGTGCTAACATACATAAAAGTTCCTAATGGTTGCTTAAATAGGGACAGCTCTGCTGTGAGAGCACTTTATAAAAGCAAATTTCCTCAGAGTAGACAGTGCCTTGAGAACAATATTTTTCTAAGCCTTGCTACAAAATGGTGAGTTGAGCACACTGTATTTTAACATATAGCTGTGAAAACAATTAGTTCTTTTCAGTAAATGAAAAGGCATCTCCAAAGGAAATTCTTTAGAAAATCATTCATCAACTGAAACCTAAGGGAATTGAAGGGAAGAAAAAAAAAATCTGCTATAGAGGATTTAGAAACATTTTTTTTTTCTGCCTCCAATTAGAAAAACAATATATTTAACCTCTGTCTTTATCACTTGTGGGGTGAGACCATTGCTTTTCTTCTCAATTCTATTCCCCAAAGACTTACTGGGACACCGAGTGTTGAAATTATGAAGATGAATGAAAACCCTGAAGTTTGTCAGAGACAGATCTATAAGCATGTGTAATTTATCTTGTGGTTTCTTCTACTGAGACTTTATTGCAGGGTTTTAAAAATATCAGCGAGAATTCTGGCATGTGGAGTCATCAACCAGAAATAACTTTGCATCAAATCCCCAAATGGTCTTTCTGATTGGCAGGTATGCCCAAGCTGAGGAATAGTATTTCCTGTTTCTTAGACTTGTTCTGCCCTGTATATACAGGAGGCAGCAGCTGACTAAAACTCTTGGAGGTAATAGATCTTAATATGGATTCAGTTTCATAGCAGCGGCAGATCCCTGTACTATAGATAACAAGGAAGTTATAAAGGACTTCCTGGCTGTCTAAAGTAACTAAACATAGAATATAAAATTTTAGGACTAAATGGAACTTTAGTAACTATCCCTTTTTTTGTTTATTCTTTCATTTTGCAGAATAGAAACTGTGATGTTTTGATAAAGGCCATGAAACTAGATGGAACATTTGAAATTCTTGACTCACTAAAGTTGTTTATTGTATCAATATTTTATCATGCTCAATATGTTTATTTTATTAATGATAATAAAATGATTATTCTTAATCATTCATAATAATCAGTGCTTTACTTGATTATTGCTAAAAAAAAAATCTTCAACAATCTCTGGAGCAATAGTAGATGTACCAGAAGGCATGAAGAAAGGATTCCTCCAATCTGAATTTCCAACCCTTTGGGGGTGGAGTGGGAAGGTAGTGCACATCTCTGGTGAGGCTATCAGGTTAAAGTTCCCAGTCCCCAGAGATGGTCCTGCATCCAGAACAACCTCTGTCCCAGTTGTAGTGATTTTGTTCATAAAGATTCGAATCACAGGAAAAACGGATACCTTTGTGTGCTCTATCCTGAAACTTGTCAAAGTATCTTGCTTTATATTTCTTATTTCTGACTTTTTTTTTTCATCCATTACAAAGCTGCTAAAAGCCTCAGGCAGGGGCAGTGATTCTTTGGGCTCAGTGGTGCACATCCCAGCGGCTTCTTCCTCTCTGAAAACCAATCTTTCCTGTCAAACATGCCTTCATCTTGTTACAAATAAGGCTCATGGATCAGCCCTGCCCAGGGAACAATCAGCATGCCGGTGATTGCTTTGAAAGCAGTATTATACTAATACAGTATCTCATTAGAACACCTTTGCTGGGAGCTGGGGGTTTCTTCCCAATCCAAATGGAGATTGTGGTGTTCATTATGTGTTCAGAAGTGCTGCTTCTCTGAACCATAAAACAGCCTGAGGAGAGAGAATCTTTTGACCTTTGTAATTGCTACAATATTATGTAGGGTTCTTTCTCCATTTGAACAGCAATAAATATTGCAGAGCCGTACATTTTTTATCCTAAAATGCAATTAAAATACAAGAAAAAAGTTTTCTGAAGACATTTCAGTGGTGCCATGCCATCCAACCTCTAGGAAGGGACATGCATGGGGGTAGGCGGATTTTGCTGCAGGTGGCAAGACTCAGAATCCATTTGGGATAATTTCCAGCAACTGGCTCAGGGGCTCGGGTTGCAGAATTAGCTCATCCAGGGCTTCGGCTCCTGGTTTCAGACTCATTAAGACTGTCTTGTCAGGGTAGGTATGTGATCAGTTTCTGGACTGCAAACTAAGCCCAATAAATTGCTGAACTCGGCTTAAAAAGTTAATTACTAAATCTGGTGCATGTGGTGCAGAAAAAGGACAGAAACTACAAATTAATGCACAGACAAGGAGTTTTTAAAAAAAAACAAAAAAACTTCAAAATGTGAATATTCCATGGCTACTGTTTGGGCCTGAGCACAGTCTTGATTTACCTCTGAGTTCTGGTTTCTTTTCTATTTGCCAACCAGTTTCCTCATCACCTTCTCATACAGGTGCCTACAGGGGGGTGCTTCAACATTATATCAAACTCCATGCACAAGGTGTGAGTGACTTTTCCAGACACGTTTAGAATGTCCACATTTAAGCAAAATATGATGAAGTTTTTGGCTGGTTTCTTTGTTAGTATTTTTTAGTAGAAATATTCACTGGGTCTCACTTCACAAGTTCTCCTAAAAGACCATCCTTTCTATGAAGGATGTTCTTTGATGCATTTTGAATATTTTTTTAACTAACTGGTAATATGAAAATTAATTGCTATAGTGTACACACTGGGCCAAGTCACGCATCTTGGCACATTGGGGCTATGACAGCAAGTAACGCACCATGAGCACCACTATTCTGCACTGGGACAGGTTAAGAGGCTAGCTGGGAACTGTCCCCTTCCCACTTGTTCCTTTTCTCCATGATCCAGGTTTGGTGGAGTAGAATGAAGAAGTAGGCTCTAATCTTCTATTTGTTTGTATCTTCTTTGTCCTCATGGGTTAAACATAAATATAGTTCCTTTCACCAGATATATTTGAACAATCCTTTGCTTTCCTGGGCCAGGTTTAAACATAACTATGAAAGCAGAGTTGAGCCAAAGGTGCTGTTGAGTATAAACTCTGTAAAAGTGGAGCCTCCTCTTTCCATTCTTGATCCCTGTGGTGCCTAACACAGGTCCTAGAATGACAAATTAAGGCTGTGCACTTAGTTGATGATGAAATAAGAGGGTAAAGCAAAAAAGAGAACATGTGATCTATTGACTTAGAAGTTCACAGTCTATTTAAAGAGACACAATACTCAAAGGCTGATGCATACATGTGGTAGTGCCTTAAGAAAAGTATGTGCAATGTGATCAACTACAGAGTGTCAATTTTAGTCAGGCTATCAGCATCTATTTATATTAAATTAAACAATAGGACAGATTTCTATTAAAAAAAAAAAAAAGAAAAGAAAAATATGTGCAAAGTGCTTTGGGATCAGCAAGGCTGGAGTGCCTGCAGGATGTGTGAGTGGTTCAATAAGTGTTGAAGAAATAGCCTGAGAGGTTTCACATTCTGGGTCTGTTGTTTCACAGAAAACATTTTCCTGAAAGCTATTCTGTTCCCTATTTCTCTAGCCAAAAAGAACTAGCATTCCCAGACTGCTTACTAGGAGCCAGTACATGCCAGATGCTCCAACTAATTGTGTGTAATCCTTCAAAGGGCTTTGGTATGTAAATATAGTATACTTCATATGTGGTTATACCGATTTAATAGATGTGGAAATTGAGGCTCAGGAACTGTAAGTTGCTTCACAAGTGCATAGTAGTGATAAGGAGCAAACTAAGGCTTCAAAATCTAACTATATCTTAAACACCAAACCGTGCCATGCACCTGGAGAAGAGGAATAAAGAAATCCTATCTTCTCTGCTAGGAAGAAAAAGCATGTACAGTTAATTAAACCCACTCCTAATTTTTCAAGTGCTGTGTTCATTACCAAGGTACTTTTTCTGTAAATACTTCAAAACTTTTATTCACTTTATTAAAAATTAGAAAAAAAGGAGAGCTTAGAAAATTTACACAGCCAGTTACCACCACCTCCTCCCGTCTTCTCCAATTTATCCTGGAAAACCTTTGCAGTTGGCTAATGGTTACAACATCAACAAAATAACTTCTCTCTCTTTCCTCATTAAATTGAAGAGAAAAAAAAAATCAACTGATACACTGCATCCTTGTTGACTGGTGGCTCATTATAGAGGCTAATAAGAGAAAATACATTCTCATGTACTGATCGTTGGAGCTCAGAGAATTCTAGGAGAGCCACCTACTGAGTAAGTATCCATTTTCACTTCTAACTTCTAATGTATTACTCTGGTCAATTTCCCCAAGCTGGCCTGATTAGGAAAGTTTTTTAATAAAACAAATGAAGATGAGATTTAAAGTTAGTAGAGAAAAACAGAAGCTGAGCCTGAACCTCCTAGACAATCTTTATCAGATTGTGCTGACCACTTGGTGGAGGTCTATGGCAGAGACTGCAAATGCATTCACCGAAATCCGGCTTTTCCTTCTTGCACTCAGCATTTCCCAGCCTTCCATGAAAACAGCTGCCATCTTCACTTCCCATCTATCTCAGGAAAGTGATGCATGCTGCTTACAGATACGAGCGATGAAACATGTACATTTCGTGTCTGATATGAATCTCTCTCTATCTCTCTATATATCTCATTTGCCTCCAAAATCTTTTGGCTCATGGCGACTAATAAACCACATATCAAATATGGTAGACTTTTCTAGCCTGGGTTTTTGAATGGCTTCATAAAAATCATTGCATCAGATTGCCAAATAAAGTCCCCGATTGAATTTCAAATGAGCGAGCAATAAATTTTTTTGTATTAAGCTCCTGAAATGTCAAGAATTGTCTGTTACCATAGATAGTGCTAATTTAACTAATATATACCCCTTAATAGATTTTAGCTATTTAAGGGATACATGGAATTTTTTTTGTTTTTAGAAAAAGACTTAGACAAATCACATAATCACATTTGAAATTACTTACACCAAAGTCCTGAAATATATATATATCAATCTAATATCTATGCAATGATGTAGATATAAACGTAGGTGTGTCCCCCAACAAAGAGAAATTGATATCTGTACACAAATTTGGCATAAAGCTTATCACATACTGGGTTCCCATAGCTGCTTTGTGAACTCAGTTGAATTGAAAACTTAACCAAATTGAATATAGATGCCTGGAAGATGTAAGTGCAAATCATTGAACATCACACCAATAAGAATATTCAGAGAAAATCTAATTTATAAACAGAAGAACACACAAAGGGGGCTAGGTAAGATAAAAAAAGGAGAGAGAAAGAAGGTCACTTTATAGTTGTATTCGTGAAATTCTCCATGGTAGGTTTATCTTAAAGATCTAACTTCAAATCTCTTAGATTCAAGTATTTAGGATAAAGTCCAGCAGAAAATTTTAGAATTTGTTAAGATGTGTCATGGTAGATTCTAAGCCCCATGTATAAAATAAGCCTATGAAGAATTAGAATATGTTAAATTCAACAGAAAGTTTTGAGGGTCACCAATGAATAAGCCATTTTGCAAAATTAAAATATGCATGACACCTAAAGTGTGACAGGAGAACTTCACAACCCACTGGAAGGGCTTGCATAGGTAAGATAATTGCAATACTGTGTGGAGAATACAATAATTGGGGTACACAACAGATACAAGAGGAATTTGGGGACATGAAGGGAATATCATTAGAACCATGACAATACAGCTGAATTTTGAAGGGCAAGAACTTATGTTTTGGGTAAACATAAGCTGGAAGCAGATGGAAGTAGAATGACATAGACTGGGCATTATTTCTCTGCAGCCCAATTCTGTTCCAAACCCCTTCCATATCAGAAGGGTTGCATGAACAAATTTTATATAATTGTTATTAAGGAAAAATCTGTAAAAAGACTGAAAACATATAAAAGTATTCTAGTCAGATCAAGATGAAAGATAAAAATCAGATCTATAGGAAAACTTAATAGACAATGACAGCCCAAAACATGTGCAGAAAAAGAAGGGCTGTTAATATAGAAGCAGTGAGTGCAGTGGAGTAAGTGTTGAGCTGCAAATAAGGGAATATGAAAAAAAATTATAGCATCAGCTCACCTAGAACAAAGACTGGATATGAACCATTCCAGGGTTGATTCTGTGGGCTCAGTACAGCATCAAGGACCTTCAAGCCCTTGCTATATTGCTTCTCTGCTACCATTTTCATATTTTCAAGGTCAAAGTAATTTTCTTGTGCCTCTAAACACCATCTCCTCACATGAAACCTCCCAGGCAGAGAGAAAACGGGAGGAGAGAAGCAAGACCTTCTTTCTTTGTAACTCTTTCTTGTATAATGGAAGAAAAAGAAAAATCTTTCCAGGAGACCTCAGCATTCTGTTCTTTGGCTCTTATGTTGCTCTACAGCCAGATTTGGGCTACATTTTCACTTCTTGAACAAGTTACAGACAAAGGCAACAGAGCCTGTCATGATTAGGTACCAATCATCATTTGAACTCTGGGACTATACAGCAGATCCCAAATAAAGAAATTTTTCATAATAAGAAATAAAGGGCACAAACTGACAGGTGGATAACTAATTGTGTCAGGCACAGGAGACTCAGATTTAGCATGAAGTGACATAAGGAGCTGGACATTACTTGGCAATAATTGGCAGGAAGATTAATATTAGAACTGTGTTGAAATAATGAGGCCCATGATTCTGTTCCATCACTCCCTCTTGTGCTTAGCAGTGGTCATTGCTTGTGCTTGGAACCAGATAAACCAGACAAATAATTGGGCTGGAGAAGTATTCCCCAGATCCTGTCCCAATGCAAGTACAAATAAAGGGATCCTCAAGCTAGATTACAAATTATGAGCAAACTCCACACATCGGCATATGTGTGGCATATCTTTCCTCAATAAACATACCCAAAAGCAAACTCCTAGCATCAGAACCTACATTCAAGGCTGGGTGCGGTGGCTCATGCCTGTAATCCTAGCACTCTGGGAGGCCCAGGAGGGTGGATTGCTCAAGGTCAGGAGTTTGAAACCAGCCTGAGCAAGAGCAAGACCCCTTCTCTACTAAAAATAGAAAATTAATTGGCCAACTAAAAATGTATATATATAGAAAAAATTAGCCGGGCATGGTGGCACATGCCTGTAGTCCCAGCTACTCAGGAGGCTGAGGCAGAAGGATCACTTGAACTCAGGGAACCTACTTTCAGAGGGAGGTAACCAGAGATCTTAAATTAAAAATATGGCTAAAAAGCCATGGAAGAGAAGCACCAAACTAAACCCAATGAAATGAAAAACAGATTGAAGAGTACAAGCGCAGGATAAGCACAAAACAAATAAATGTGTTATCTTCAGAGAACTTCAAACAATTACTGCATTTATAAAATGAGAACAGACTGCTAGAAAAAGAAAACAAACAAAAGATAACACAAACAATTAGAGATCTTGAAAAATGAAAATAGTCCCAACTATAAGGACAAAGACAAATTAAAAAGAGGAGTAATGGTTCTTGTTGAAAATAAAAGAATAGACTGTCCACTTTTCTTTTATTAGAGCATTTACTTTAGAAAACTTATATTTGCTAGTTCTTTTGCTGTCATTTTGAAATGTATATAAATCTTTTTTAAAGACTACATAGGACTCTTCTCAGCTTTACACCCAAAAATATCTTTATAAGGACCTAGGAGCCGTCTCTTTGAAATGGAATCATGCAGAGAGATAGTACCTGATCACCCAGATTCCTTGGAAGGGTAGGAGCCTAACGTAGTGGGCTTACTCCCAAAAAGTTGCAAAACTGCCTTCTGACATAAAGATATGAGAAGTTTGCTTTTTCTTTGGATAAAGCCAATGAGCTGATATACCTAGTCAACCCAATTACCAAGTGAATTTAAGATGAAATATGTGTGACTAATGGTACTGTCAAATCCTCTTACTTGAGGACTAGTTGTTGTTTATCGTGTATGTAATATATTTTATCTGCTGAGCTATATGAAAGGGTGAGATTTCTTTTGTCTTTGGAACCTTAGAAGATTGCCTATGATGCACATCACATTCTGGTTTAATTATTATTTAATCAGTAAACTGATTTCTTTCTCTTTTACCTTTGTGAAGAGGTTTTCTGGGGTGACAAATGTTTTTGTTTTTAACTATATTTCATCCACCCAACTAAGGAACAAATTATTGAGTTAGAAGAATGAGTAAAGAAACCTCCCTAGGAAACAGCTTGTTAAACAAACTATATGACAAAATGTTACTGGACATAGAGGATAGATATAAAAGTTTTATAATGCATTTAATAGAATTTCTAAAAGAGAACAAATATTAAGTGAGGTGCAATATAATAAAGAAAAAAAAATCTTCAATATTGAAGGAAGATATGGTGAACAGTGTAGAGGGGAAGGGCATACTTCTAACCCTTGCTAGGGAAAGACAAAGATATAAAATGTAACCAAAATGTTAAAAAAAAAAAAAAGCATTTATTGGGTGTTGGGCAGGTGGGTGGGAAGGAGGGGATGGCTATATATATATACATAATAAGTGTGATCTGCACTGTCTGGGGGATGGACATGCTTGAAGCTCTGACTCGAGGGGGGGAGGGAAGGCGAGAGCAATGTACATAACCTTAACATTTGTACCCCCATATTATGATGAAATAAAAAAAAGAAAATTAATTATGCAAGTGTTATTTATTGTTACCAAATAATAGATAATCAATATTGGACTTAAATTTCCAGCTGTGTAATTTTATGTTACCATTTTCTCGGTTGCAAATGCCTTGTGTCAGTTACCATATCTCATAGATCTATACAGCATCTAATTAAAGTGGAAAGTAGGCGCTTGTGTAAAGTGTGGTAAACACTTGTGTAATGAGTATAAAAATAAATAAATAAAAAACATACTGGATTCCAAGGAAAATAAATGGAAAAAAGAAAAAGAAAACATAAAAGACCACGTTAACATACTGAAGTTAAATTTGGGGACATCAATTCTTAAAGCCCAAAACACGTTCATAGAGAAAAGAATTTGCATTCAAGTAAAAAAGATAAACCAAATTATTATCATTACAGATGTTGGAAGATTATTGAGTCATCCCTATAAATATGTAAGAGAAAATGACCTCAAAATTTTAGACCTAGACAAAAAACAAATAAACAAACAAACAAAAACCAAACCCCCCAAGGAAAACCCAGGCCAAAAACCTTTGGGAAGGACCCAACCCCGGAATTTTGCTTTTGGTTTTGTTCTTGGAAGGTTTTTCCTTTTTCCCCTTTTTTAAACCAATTTTTTTGGGCTTTTGGTCTTACTTCTTTTTTTTTTTTTTCTTTTGTTTTTTTTCCTTTTTTTTTTAATTTACGGTTTGTGACAACCCTTTGTTAGACAAGTTTCTCTGTGTCATTTGTACAAGAGCATTTGCTCACTTAATATCATTGTGTCACATTTTGGTAATTCTAGCAACATTTCAAACTTTTGATTATTATTATATCTAATATAGTGATCTGTGATCAGCCATCTTTGATGTTATTATTGTAATTCTTTTGGGTTATGACAAACTGTGCCCGTGCAAGAGAGTGAAGTTAATAAATGAGTGTGTCCTTATTGCTCCACCAACTGACAATTTCCCTATCTCCATCCATATCCTCGAGTCTCCCTATTCCCTGAGACACAAAGATATTGAAATTAAGCCAATTATTAACCCTACAATGACCTCTAAGTGTTCAAGTGAAAGAAGAAATGGCATGTCTCTCACTTTAAATCAAAAGCTAGAGATGATTAAGCTTAGTGAGGATGGCATGTTGAAAGCCAAGACAGGCTGACAGCTAGGCTTCTTGAATAAACAGTCAAATTGTGAATGCAAAGGAAACATTCTTAAAGAAAATTAAAAGTACTACTCCAGTGAACACACAAATAATAAGAAAACAAAATGCTCTTATCGCTGATATAGAGACAGTTTCAGTGGTCTAGCTAGAAGATCAAACCAGCCATAGTATCTTTTTAATCCAAAGCCTAATCCAGAGGAAGGCCCTAACTCTCTTCAATTCTCTGAAGGCTGAGAGAAGTGAGAATGCTGCAGAAGAAGATTTTGAAATTAGCAGAGGTTGTGTGGTTCATGGGGTTTAATGGAAGAAACCATCTCCATAACATAAAAGTGCAAGGAGAAGCAGCACATGCTAATGCAGAAATACAACAGCTTTATCGGGAAGAGCTAGCTAAGATCGTTAATGAAGGTGGATACACAGATTTTCAGTATAGATGAAACAACTTTCTATTTGAAGATGCCATCTAGGACTTTCATGGCTAGAGAGGAGTCAATGTCTTCATAGTGTCAAAGGACAGGTTGACTCTTTTACTAGGGGCTAATGCAGCTGGTGACTTTCAGTTGAAACCAAAGCTCTTTTTCCATTCTGAAAATCTTAGGGCCCTTGAGAATTATGCTAAGCATGCTCTGCCTGTGCTGTATAAATGGAACCATGAAGCTTAGATAACAACTCATTTGTTCATTGAATATTTTAAGCCTACTGTTAAGACCTACTGTTCATAAAAAAAGATTTCTTTCAAAATAGTACTGGCCATTAACAATGCATCTGGTATTTCAAGAGCTCTGACAGAGATGTACAAGGATATTGATGTTGTTTCATGTTAGCATTTTTTTGCAGTAAAGTATTTTTAATTAAGGTATGTACTTTGATTTTCAGGCATAATACTATTACACACTTAGTAGACTATATAGCATATTATAAACATAAAGTTTATATGCACTGGAAAAACTAAAACACTAATGTGACTTGTTTTACTGTGATATTCCTTTTATTGAAGTGGTCAGGAACCTAACCTACAATATCTCGAAGGCATGCCTGTATGTTCCATCAAAATTTAAAAATTCAAAATGAGAAGATATGGAATGTAAAAATAAAGACACTAGTAACACAGTAAATTGTATGATAAATAACATAAAAGAATAAATCTTGAAATAAAATACCAAATGATCTTAACATGGGAAGTGATCAGTGAAGTAAAACAGAGATAAATGTAAGCATTTTAAGTCTGTTACCTATGGGAAGATCTAATTAAAAGTTAACCATTGATATTCATAAAAAATACGAGATTGAAAATTTATGTTAGATTTTTATAATAACCATATAAGCATAATTAGTATAATTAGCATGTAAGCTGCCAGTTGGAAGAAAATTAAACAATAAAAACTATATTGACCTGAAAAAGATGGCAGAAGAGAGGAAAGAAGAAATTAACGACAAAATAAAACAAAACAAAATAAACTGAAATAAAAATGAAGGAAAACATGCATTCACAGTAGCTTTAAATAGATTAAATTTTCTAATGAATAAAGACACTCACTGCAAATAAAAATATAACGTACTCCATTTATAAGAATGATACCTAAAACCATGTGACAGCATGTGAAAATAGGTGAATGAAACAAAAGCTGCATCAGGAAAACACAAGTGATAGGAAAAACTATATAGAGATATTACTACAAAAAATAAAATTCAAAGTGAAAAATAGTGAGCAAAACAAATGATTTAAATTATTTCAAGGAGAAAACTGAACAACTAAAATATTAGAAAGATGTCAATGAACAAAATGTGTATAAATGTTAGTAAGCATACACATACTGCTGCATTCTAACTTTTTCAGTATATTCCTATGTAATAAAAATTATTCCAAATCCTCATCCCGATCATCCAGTTAATTCCTGTATAATATATTGCTGGAAAGCTTCCCAACTTAGTTTATAAGATTAGCAAACTATGATATTTACAACAAAGTAAGGATAGCGCCAAGAATTAAAACTATAATGGCACTGAAAAGTATAGATAAAAATGCTAAATAAAATAGTAGAGGACAGAATTTTTAGTTGTAAAATAAAAGTATAAAATAATAAAGCATAAAGAATGATGATGCATTTAGACCAAGTGCATTCAAGCCAAGAATATAAGTACTGTTGAATTTTAGAATTTTAAAAACAAACAATAACAACAACCAAAGAAAAACCATTCTGAGCAACATACCAAGACCATGCCTCTAGAAAAAATTTTAAAAACTAAAACTTAGCTGGGTGTGTTGGCACATGCCTAAAGTCCCAGCTACTCGGGAGACTGAGGCAGGAGAAGTGCTTGAGGCCAGGAGTTGGCTGGAGTGAGTTATAATGATACCATTGCACTCTAACCCTGGCAACAGAGCAAATCCTGTCTCAAAAATAAAACAAAACAAAAAAATAAATAAAAAACCAACCTAGACTTTGGCTGATCATCAGGGAAGTAATCATTACAGTGGGACAAGTTGGAATATAAGAGAGAGAGTGGATAATGAAGCAGCAATCCAAGGGATTTCACAGGAAAAAAATAAACTCTAGCGCACACATGGAGGATATGTCCTCAAGTAGGAAGAGAAGCCACTCATCTTCTGAGAGTGTAAGGAAAAGTAACTGTGGTAGGAATATAGTTAAGTTTAAATGTAAAGCAAAAAGGCTGAAAGTGGAGGTTGACCATACAAAAGCTATTTAACCCCCTCCCCCACATTAAAAAGAGTTTTGCATTACAATTTCTAGGCTTGTGGTTTGGGTAGGGACTCAACTAGAATGATGTACATTTAAAGATTGCTGTTAAGAGAAACGGAAAAGGAAGCTGACAGCTGCAAAGTAAAAGGATGTTCAGTATTACTGAGGTTACAATTAGAATTGGAGGGATTTAGTAATATGGTTATTATTGGTATTAATCAGGAAACATGCAAAACATGTAGTTCATGTGACTGATGTTATTGTTCTAGAGGTGAAAGCAGAGTTATTCTTTAGCTTCATTCTCCTGTTTCGGAAAAATATTTTAATGGATCTTTTGCATATGCAAAAGAACAACCCTAAAACAACCAAGGCTGACACAAGGCAGAGAGAGAAAATGCTCTAAGCCAAGGGTCCTCAAACTTTTTAAACAGGGGGCCAGTTCATTGTCCCTCAGATGTTGGAGGGCCATTGGAGAGTGTGGCGCACATTCCACCCATGTGCACTGTGGGCCCAGGACGAGTCAGCTGCTAAGCAGGACAGGCAGCAGCGGCAAAACACCCAGCAGGCCGGATAAATGTCCTCAGCAGGCCACATATGGCCCGAGGCCCATAGTTTGAGGACCCCTGCAGCACTATACTAGCTTCAAGGTATGAAACTACATATCTGGGGTAGTCTACTGCAGAGAACACTGTAATATGGCAAAAAGACTGAACAAGGAGCTGCAATTTGAGGGAGGAGCCTGTTCAATGACATCTCTATGTCCTATGTCATTGAAATGACAGCTGGGGTCCCTGTGAAGAAGAGTAGGTCACACATTTTTGGAGTTGTTGTGTCTAATGATATACATTTGTAACATCTTTTCTACATTCTGATTCCCTTTTTTATCTTCATACCTTAGAAATTAAACATAACTTTCATTAGTGTTGGCTTGGAAACAGGTTATCCTGCCTCTCTCCATGTTTTGGAGGCAAAGTGGATGGGACAGAGTCCAGAGACCACCAGAGCAGGTGATCAAGAGAGGGAAGACAGCACATCAAACAAGAGCGAAAGGTGGCAGGTGGCATTCGGGACATGGGAGCTTTCCCTCCAGAATGCCCAGAAATACTAAGGGAGGGATATGTACTAATTTTAGTAACATCATAATTTCTGGTCCTACAGGATGGAGACTCATTTAAATAGAATTTTGGAGGAAAGGATGATGCCAGAAGGTCAGAAACATTGCAAGTTTCAAGTTTTATTTATTAATGGTGATACCCAAACAAGCATGATTTCCAAGTTCGAAGAATATAAAAATATTCTGTGGGCAGCTTTCCATGGCATCGTGCAGATGTGTTGTTAAGAAAAGGACAGCAGTTAATGAAATCTCAATTTAAAGTATGTTTGGGGACAGTGAGTTTGTCACCCATGCCTAAGAGCAGGAAGAAAGGTGCTCTGTCACCGCTTGCACAAACCCTTCCTTAGGTACATAACAGGTTTTGCCTTATCTGAGAAAAAAAAGCAATGTAAGTATTTTTTTCCAAATGATGACTTCCTTGAATACCATTCATGATATAATTGTTATATATAAATTATAGCATGGACACATGGACACCTCTATCCATTTTCCTTAGAATAAGACTCCAGGGATCTGGGAAGTCCCAGGGTCAACCATAGAAGAACTTCCATTCTCTGACCCCAAAAGGCATCTCTCTAAGGAGGAGGAGGGATTGCAGATAATTTTTTCTAGACTACCTTTACTCCTGCAAGTCAGCTGCAGTCTAGTTGGGTCAACAATTCAAGCAGCAGTGCCCCTAGAGCATTATCTTTTCTTTGATCCTAGAAATGCCATGTGGATTGATTTTAAGGTATGCCTATTCTTCAAAAGGCTTGATCTCTAGCTTAAGAATGTAAGTTAAGTAGGGATTTTATAGGAATTTTTTTGGCTTTAGGAAATAAAACATGAGAGACCCCCTGCTGCTTACAGCCTTCTTTAAATCTCCATCTCTAATTGTTTCTTCCCTTCAAAGAAAATTCCCGTACATTTCATAATGCAAAGTCTCCAACAGGCATGAGTCTAATTACTCTCCACCATCCAGGCGCAGTTCAAATGAAATGATTAGCAGTATTTGTTGTCAGGTTGTCTCCAGGAGATGACAATTTTTATCAAATCACTATGTGTCAAAAATAGGAGGCTGTGCCAAGGTGGAAATGCAATTCCACAGTTCCCAAAAGTGGATGAAATTCTCAGCTCAACATGTGACGTTAATGCATTTGCTGCTTGGAGAGGGGGATCCGGCCTTTTCAGGCAGCCAGACTCTTTTCTTGCAGCACCACCCACCAGCTGACAAAGCAAGTTGCATTTGCCCAAAGCTATTTGCTGTGATTATTCAGAGCCCTCCTCACTCCAATTCCTGTGTCTGCCAACTCAGAGCTCCTGGCTGCACTCTTCAAACTTTATACTCCCTCTTGCCTTCTGGGCTTTTATTCTATTTAGCATATAACTTGCAACTTACTCTATCAAACTCCAGCTTGAACTTGGTCCCAGCCCTCTTCTCCTACCCTACTTTAACTTTCATATTCTCAGAAATCAAACCCTGGGACCAACAGTTTGCATAAAGCCAGGGCTATGTCCTCCTTGGAATTAGTTTTTTGAATGCTGTTTCCTTTATGCATCTATTTTTAAAGTTGTCCATTAAAAAAAATATCATCCCCATGAACAAAATCCCATGTTCAATGGATACACAGGTGAATATTTACAATTACAGAAGAAATAACAAATATTTTACAAATTCTTTTATAAGGTAGAAATAGAATTCTTCCCTACTTTTTATCAGGCACTCATAACCTTGTGCTATAGACTGAATGTTTGAGTTCCTCCAAAATTCAGATGTTGAAATCCTAACCTCCAATGTGATGTATTAGGAGGTAGGGTCTGTGGGAGGTGATTAGTTCGTGGTGGTAAAACCCTTATAACAGAGACCACAGAGAGCTCCCCAAGCCCTTATGTCATGTGAGGACACAGAGAGAAGACAGTTGGCTGTGAGCCAGGAAGGAGACACTCAACAGACACAGAATCTGCCAGTACGTTGATCTTGGGTTTCTCAGCCCCAAGAACTGTGAGAAATAAATTCCTACTGTTTGCAAGCCACCTCAGTATATGGTCATTTTGTTATAGTAGTCAGAATGGAACACTTTGATTCTTTTTTTTTTTTTAATTTTAAATAGAACATTTGACATTTACTAAAAAATGTTCATGTAGAAAGAAAGGAGGAGAGAAGCTACAAGGCAGAGCTAAATGTCAATTTAGTTCTTTCTCTCTCTCTTTTAACAGCTTTATTATCTATAATCTTGATTGTGATAATGATATCAGGAGTATTTACATATTTCAAAATCAACAAATTGTACACATTGAATATGTGCAGTTCTTTGTATATCAGTTACACATCAGGATCACTCTCAAATGCAAAAACAGGACGAGGCAAGACAACCCACCGTAATAGGAACTGGGGTCATTTTCTTTCTACCACTCAGTTCTTCCAGTGTATTTGTCAGTACATTGCCGTGACTGCTCTCTGTAGGTTACACAGAGGAATTATATCCACCTTCTCTGTTTAGAATGCCATTTCTGTCCTCTATTGTAACAGTGTTAGTTATGAAAAGAAAATAAACCACTCTACCTCACTGAATCTCCCCTCCAACTTTGATCTCATTTTTTTCCTATATCACTTGGCAGTCCCCCTAATCCTGCTTTTCAATACAGGTCACCAAAACAGGACTTTATTAAGAACAGAATGATCTATTATGATAAGATGAAGAGAAAAAAATGGTGTCATTTGTTCTTGAACCCTTTCAACCTTTTGGAGGAGAGGAGAGGGGGAAATGAAATACACAGTGTCTGCCAACACTTGCTCCCCTGAGCTCTTTCTCATTTTCAGAATTCGCAAGCATTCCCATTTATTTCCTCTATTGTAATCAAAAATATCCCAAAGATGGTAAATATCAAGTGAGAAAAGAATCATAAATGAGATCTATAGTGGCTAAGCAGCTACTCTCAATCTATCTGAGAGAACATAGCTTTTCTGAATTGCAATTTAGAAAGTAGCATCAACAATTATCCTATAAGGGATACAATTTGACCACAGAAGCAGTGGTGGACACTCAGCAAATTGCAGGGAAGCTACCCTTGAAATCAAAGAGTTAATTTTATCCTCTATTATATAAATTTTAAATGTTTCCATATCTTCCATATGCACATATCATTGATGCTCAATAGATACTATTCCTTGGAATGATTGCACTTCCTGGCTACCAGTGCTTAGTATAGTTCTTTCTGGAATTTTTTTCTCAGCAACATTTTCTTCTTCCACCTTACCATTTCACAAGTCGGTTTTCCCACAACTTATCAATGAGTCTGCAAAAAATAATACCATGATCTGTCTCTGAAGTTAGCCGTTATAAGTTAAAATTCCCTGCTTACCCCACACCTAACTTTTCAGAGAGTTCAAGTTGGTCAATAGAAATCAAGGCTTGAGGCTGTGTTAGTCTTTTAGCACTCAGAGGATGTACAATTCCTGACATATATTATAAGATGAAGGCCGTTTCCTTCTGGACTAAAATTATGGACAATACCGATGCCAAAAAATCAAGCTTAAAAACGATCACAGGATATTTTTTTCTTCATATTGCACTTGATTTTTCTAAAATGTATTGAGTACCCCAGATCTGTGGCTTGTGTGTGTTCAGCATGCTGAATTCATTGCTGTGAAAAATGAAACTGAAATGACGTCAGGCATAACGCAATTTGAAACGTCAAGCTTTTGCCATTTGCCTTTGAGCTGCCCGCGGTGCCAACTGAATCATTTATAGAACCTCTTATTACCTGCTTTCTAAATCCAGTCATATAAAGGAACAGGCTATGCCTTTTGCACTTTATGTTGTAAGGTTATCTAATTTCTATTCCCAGATGCGCACCATGCCTGCTCTTTTTTTTTTTGTCTTTAAAATAAATCTGTTGCCTACAGCTAAATATACAGTACTTTGAACATGACAATGAAGCTATTTTTAATTTGTCCTTTCGTTTTAATTATGCTGTTGGTATTATTTTGTAGGTACAATTTGCAGCATTTTTGCTGCCACCTACAGGCACCCCCCTGAGAACCACCTCTGATGTCGGGTAGGTGTAGAATTACCTGTTTATCTTGAGGTGGAGATTCTGCTGCTTTCCTAACCATTATTTGTCAGCACAGATATTTGTGCGTTGAAAATGTTTTTTTAAACAATACCTACATCCTTATTTATTTCATGAAAATAAAAATATCTGCAAGATCCTCATAAAATCAGTAAATAGGACAATCTCTGCAAACATAAAGAATTCACTTGGGGACAGTACAAGAGAAATCCTACACAAATGTGTTCTTAATCGTTTCCATAAGTAATAAAATCAGCATGTTTATGAAAAACCTAAATACATAATTGATCAAAGCAATTTTCACAGTTTAAAATTTATTAGCTGTGGAAATAGCTGATGTGAAAAGGAAGGTTAAGAGAAAAAAAAAAAATCTAAGTCTTTTAAAGAGTAATTCTCTCTCATCCTGACAACTATTATGAACTGCACTGAGCTAACTCTGAAATAACAGCACAGAAAAAGAAAATCAGAAATAGAGAGAGCAGCTCTTGAGAGACCATTTAACACAAAAAATGGAAAGAATAAAAAAGAATGTACTGGAGTCCCAGAGCCCCCTCCTGGATCTGAGTTCTCTGTGAAGCAGAGATACTCTCACGGGACGAAAAGAATGTTCTCTCGTTGGGAAGCTGTCCTTAAAGTAGAGAGATGAGTTTATTTCTGGAATATGCCTATGGTCTTTAAATAACTACATATGGACCACCATTAATTTCCTTAAACCTTCTTACCATTTCTTGTTTCATTATGCACCACCTCTTAGAGTGAAAGTTACTACTCACAATATGATGGGGAGTTGTGTTTCACTTTCTTAGTGTTTAATTCCTGTGGACTTCTGGACCTAAAACCCCAGAATTCCGAATCTTTTTCACAGAGTACATAGCAACCCTTGAGAGGTGAAGAGAAAACCTGTATTTCTGTGAATAATCCATCTAAGCTCTCTGTGTAGACTTTGACGTTTTTATTCGAGAAACTAGCATTGATTTATTTACTCAAGAAACAATCCCACTTTGTTCCAAGTCTTGTGTTTGGTGCTAAGGATATAGAGGTAAATATGATATAGCCTTTACTTCAAGGTGCACGCTCACTTATGTGGGTGACAGAATCAAGTAAGTGTGATATGATGTGTAAGGATTGTTATAGAGGTAGATCCTGGCACAGTGGCAGTGCAAAAAAAAGGGACAATGAAAAGCCCTGGAAGGTAAAGGGATGGGGAAACATGCCAGGAAAAAGGGAAAGCATTGCTTTGGCTATTTCTTTCAGTTGTTCCTTTCCTCTTCTTTTGTTTCTTGCCAAGGGGAGAATTTTCAAAATAAAATAAAAGTCTTAGCCAGGATAGTCTTGACAATATCAACTGAAACCCAGGGCTTAGCACTCGAATTGCCACATAGAAAACTCCCATTAATAATTCATTACCAATGCTCTCTCCTGTCCCATCACTTAAATTGCAAATACTTTAGAAATGTAGAACACACTCAACCTTCTCCCTCATGCTTTCTACCATAAAAGCTAGAAGAAAAAAAGACCTGATCGGCACAATAGAGCCATCATAAAAATGTTACTTGAAAGATATTGACATCGTGCGATCCCCCATATTCTTGCCCCAATACAGATCTTGCTGTTCTTATTCTTTTTATAATTTTTATTTTTCCCTTTATTTTTTAAATTTTAGACACATTAAGATTCATTAATTATATAAACTACTATTTATAATACTTTAATTTGGAGAAACTAAACTTTTTTACATTATTGAATAAAATAGAAATAATGAAAAACATTTTATTGCAACAGTCATGTCTCAGAAATTTCTCTATGTCTAAGACCATATGAGATACTATAATAGGTACATAATCTTTGGATACGTTTCTTTTCTATAAAGAGTGTTCAAGTTTATAGGGAGAAAAGATAAAAAAATACTATAGAAGTATACATAAAAGCAGACAGATTTGGTAGTGGAAATTTTGAAATTGATGAAGACTGTCATTAATATATCTCCAAATTCTCTTTTTGTACTCTTTACTAATTTTCTCATAGTGTACTTTTCTCTCTTCACTATGTATGACAGTTTCCCAATCAACAAATAACAATGCTATTCAAAACTCCCAGCCACCCTCACTGTGAGGGAAGAAATGAATCAATAAGAGGAAATAATATTTTATACTCCCTAACATTATATGAGTTCCATTTGAGCCAAATAGAGAAAGCATTCTATGACCCAGTGGAATAATTGTTCCCATTGGATCCTCAGACCCCATAGGCAACCATTTGCAAAGAAGATCTTCCGCAATTATAAAATTTCCACATTGTTGTCATACTGCCTACTGCATGTATATATAATGATCATTCTGATAGGCATAAAATGTCAGGATTTTGCATTGCCGAATATGAAGCAAGGAATAAAATGGTAGAATTTAGGGTAAAGACTATGAAACATACAAGGTCAGGAAATAAATATACCAGTGTATCCTCAAAGAGTCTAGAAAAGCTTCCTGCAAAAAGAGATATTTGAATAGTTCTTTAAAGGGGGATATGATTTAGATAATCAGAGAGAATGGAACTTTTGAGAAGAGAAAGGGGACCCTGACAGAGGAACAACAAATGCAAATAGTAAGCATGGCAGATATGGAGGACAATTTGTTTTTCTAGAAAAATTTAAATTAAAACATATTTTCAATAGCCTTTTTTATGTCTTGATTACTTTCAGAATACTCAGTTTAGGTTCACTGTAGATTTCTGATTTATAAAAAAGTGAAAAATGTTTTTTAACTAAATGTTTTCCCATGTTAAAAATCTACCTAAGGTACAAAGCACACAGAGACACTGATGATATTTGGCCATTTGCATGACTGTCTTCAAATACAGTATTTGATTTACTGTAATAAAGTTTAAGAACTTGATTTGCCTTTGAATTATTAAAGTATAATACCAATGCAGGATTTTAATTACAAATGAGAATTGGGGAGTTTTTGAAATTAATTCTGGTGAGTTCCTCCAAAGACAAGAGAAAACAGATATGTAGTATTTTCAATGTTTTAACCTTCCCTAAAATTCCCCAGGCTCACTGACTTTCCAATTTAGATCTGTCTATTCTGATTAGATTCTGAGAATTCCTAACCAGTCATATTTCATTAAAAAATGATATTTGTAATTTTAAAAATATAAAATATTAAATAATGTGAAAGTTTTTTTTCTTTTTTAAACAAATCTATTCAGATGTTTATGTTTTTTTTTTTATTCTTTTATGTACATATGTGTATTTAAGGCTATGAATTTTCCTCTGAGCTCTGTTTTAACTCTGTCCCATGGGTTGGGGTATTTTATTCTGAAAATTCTGAAAAAATTATTGAATGCAAGAATATTTTAGAAAAAAATTTTAATTAACTCTGAGTATTTCTTAATATCTTCTTATCCATGTCTAGTTTTATTACATTAGAATAAGAAAATGTGCTATTTTCTGCACTATTCCTTATTTTTTAGTTTATAGAGGCTTTCTTCATAGAAATATATAAAAGTATTTTTAAACATCATGTGGGCATATTATTAAAGTAATGAGTTCCATATGCATCTTCTTGCTTATGTTAGGACATACTATATTCTTAGAAGTGTTTTTGTACATTTGTTCCATCTTAGTTTGGGAGTAATGAATAGAAGTCTCTGATTATTTTTAAGTCTATTCTTGGTATCTCCCATAATTTCTTATAAATAAAAATCACTGTTGTTTTTTAGTATATAGGTGTTTATAACTGTTTTATATCCATTGTAGATTATACCCCTTAATATTTTAATTTTTTCTTCTATATGACAGATAATACTTTTTGACCTGAATTCTATCTTATCTGAAATTAAGATCGAGCCTCCTGCTTTCTTTGTGTTTTCATTGACCTGGTAAATCTTTACCCTACTTACCTTCCTTTTTCTTTTAGTATTCTGATTTGCTTTACAATTCTGTGTACACATATTTTTTCTTTAAATAAATGAGTTGGGCTCTTTTATATTTATTAATATGACAGGTATGTTTCCTTTTAATTTCACATTTTTTTTTGTTTTTACATTTAAGTTTATTTATAGAGTATGTTTTCTCTGTGTTTTATGTAGTTCTTCTAATATTTATAAAGGTTAGCATTTTAGATTATAGTAGTTACCTTTAACTTATATATTTATGTAACACTTTTCCCTTCTCTTTTGTAGTATTTACTAACTCCTCACCATGAGCAGCCACTGACTATGCTTGTGTTTCCTTCCACCATTCTATCCTGTTCCCCCCTCTAAGTTTAATCCACAGAATGCTTTTTCCTTGTTCTTTCCCTATATTGATAAATTTACCTACATTTTTACTGTTTGATTTATCCACTTAAAATTATGTCCTTTCATTTTAAGATGAGGCACAGGTGAGTCAACTGTCAATCTTATTCTGCTTTGCATATTTTCTTTTTATTATTCTCTATATTTTTATTTCTTTTTCATTTCTGCTTTACCAGAATATGTAGCACATTCAATTTTGACACGTTTTTAATTCAACTTAATCACAGTCATGCACGTTCGATGGTCACCACAAGTCTTTTTGCTGAAGTTCCCCCCTGAAGTCTTTCTTTTGGCTAGAGTTGATCTTTTATTAGTTTCCCCAGGAGGATATTATCTCTTCAGTAAAATAGTAAGAAAGACATCATTCCTTCATTAAAAATTCTCTGGGTCAAATCTATTTTAAGACTTAAATTTGAAGAAAAGTTTGATTGTATTTAAGTATCTTGGCTCACTCTTTTCTGGAATATATTGTAGGTATTGCTGCATTGTCTACTGACATTGCATGTTAGAATTAATAAGTCTGCTATAAATCTTATTGTCTTTCCCCTAAAACAATAGTGACTATAAATTTTTATCCAAACCACATTTTGAGAATGAAGGAGGTCACTATTTATGTTTAGTTTAGAATCACAGGTATAAACTGTGCTTGTTCCTGGGTAACCAAGCCATATGGCCTCCCCAACCACATATGGCTTGATCTTCTGGTTTGATTGCCTAGAATAGCCTTTTTAAAAAATTATATTTTCTATTGTATTCTTTATCCTACCTTACATTCATCATCCCTCTAAATAAAAATATTTTTCTTATATTTTTATCTAAATTATGTCTCAGTGTTAATAACTGTTGATCAATATTCTCTTGGTGACTTTTCAATATGTAGATTCATTTTCCTTTTATTTCAGAAAAAATAATTATGTTATTAAATATCTATAATGTCTGTTTTGTTTCTTTTTTAAAGTTGTCTTTGTTCTCCTTTGCCTGTATTCTAAAGCCATCACTTTTTCTCTAATTTCTCTATTTTTCATTATTTTTCTGTGTGTTTCTATCTATATTGCTCATGTGGCATGTTGTTAATTAATGGTTCCCAGTTAATGATGCTTCCTGATATCCACATCCTTCCTTACCGACTCTTGACTTAGTTACATGACTTGCTTTGGCCAATAGGAAATCAGCAAATGTGACAAGCATAAAGGCTTCATAAGCACTTGCCCATAGGGACTTGCCCTCTGGGAATGCTACCATCACATCATCATGTTTAGAAGCTTGGTTTAAATTTCCAGAGAATGAAAGGCCACATGTAGAGACAGGCTCAATCAGCCACTTGAGTGAGCCCACATGAGACAGTAGAATTGTCCTCCCAACCCACAGAATCATAAGAAGCTTTAAATCATTGTTGTAATCCACTAAATTGTAGGATTGTTATGCACCATTAGGCAACTGATAGAAAAATTGTTACCTAGACAACATGTGGCATGGCTGTAATAAAACCGGAAACCTGTGGCATTAGCTGTGGAACTGGGCAGCAGATGGATGCTTGAGAATTGCAAGAGCTCTGTTGGCAAAGGCTGAAGGAATGGCAAAAACAAAACAAAGAGTCAAACCAAACTAACAAAACAAACTGTTCAAAAACTAAAAATGGGTTGAGGAAATTATTAGGGGCAGGAAAAATGGCAGCCAATATTTTGTAATAGCAAAACAGGTGCCAATCCTGTCACCTGGCATTGCAGAGAAGATAAAATTATACTTGATGAACTGGTGGCTCTGGCTAAGGAGTTATTTTTGATGGAATATTGAAAGTATCAACTGGCTTCTTCTAGATGTATATGTAAATGCATAGTAAGGATACATATGCTAAGAAGATGACTGTTTAGTTTGCAAAAGGAAATTAGACATGAAGAAGAGTCAGACATTTCTGGGTTGGAAAATAAAATGACTTCATATTTCCAGTGTTTCCAGTTGGCAAAATATTTCAGTATGATAAATGGTCTCAGCAAAAAGATCAAATCAATATTATGAATGTAAAATTCCTTTGCAAGACCTCAGTAAGATTAAAAGTGGTTTCTAGAAACTCTCTCAGCTAGACAAAAGGGCTTCTAGGAATTTTAAAAACATTATCGTACAGCATTCTGACACACCCAAAATAGAGTGAGGTCTATCTTTAAAAGAATTATGGATGTGATCTTTAGGCATAGAGTGAATCCCAGTCACATTCACAAGAAATCATTAGCATTTTTAAGGTAGTTGTATCAGTTCAGACTGAAAAAAAGAGAGTTTAAAATGAAAAAAAAAAAATCTTTGGGCGTCTATCTTTTCATATACAGAAAACTTCCTGATAAGACTACTCAGCTGTTTCTTAAAGAAAAATTAAAATCTCTAAGAGAACTGAGCCCAGAGCCCACAGGGAAGAATCAAGATCATGGGCAATTAGGAAATGACTTCAAGGGAGCAGATGCAATCAAGAGCATTCCTTGCCAAGTAAGGATTCCTGATAACATACACTCAGCTAGATTTCAGAATTGTTATGGACCAGTGATTGCTGTACACTTCCAGTTCTTTCTCTTTCTAAGTCAGAATGTCTATTGTGGCTATACTTTTCTTATCCCACCATTCTATGTTGGGTCTGTGGGAGTAAGAAGGACAGGTAACTTGTCTTATTGTTTATGGGTTTCTGGATCAATTGAAGCTGATTATAATAGAAATCCTTTCTTCATGGCTTCTTTTTGGGCATTATTATTTGATTCAACATCGCAAACAGTCATTGATACACACTGTGATGCTGAGCTTGCACTAAACTTTGAATTAGATATCAAAATAAAGAAGTGTATAATTTCTAGAGAAAATTGCTTTTGAAATCTGTCTGGAGGACAGATTTCAAATCTCCAGACACCTTGTCCTTTCTCTCTTTTCTCTCATTGTCCCAACATTTCTCCTTCCCCCAAAAGTTGTATATATGGCCTGTCTCTGTTGACCCCAGGGCTTTTCAAAGTACCTAATAATGGCATGCATAAGTTTTCTGTGTATCCTAATTTTGCTGCACATGAGTCTTGTTTTTGTTTAATTTCATTTTCTGTGCATTGTTGGAGTTTTCAAGAGAATTGAGAAAATGAAGAACTGAGCTGCCATCATAATCATTTTAGAAATTGTCTCATGGCTTCTTTTTTTGGCATTAAGATTTGATTCACCATCTCAAATATTCATTGATACTGTGATTAGAGCTTTTGCTAAGCTTTGCATCAGATACAAGAATAATGGCCAGTCAAAGCTATCCAGGATCTCAGAGTCCAGAACCAAAACTTGACGGAGTTACGTGTTTTACAAACAAGTACAATGTCAGTTGATTGAAAGATTCTCAACCACCAGATATAAGAAGACTTCTGGTCCTTGTAAAATTATACAACTGTTGAATATTTTACAATAAACAAATGAAGGCATACAATTATACTCTGCATGATTAGAGAACATAGAATCACTAGCATTGCTTTATATTGATGTATGGTGCATCTTTCCACTGTTAAAAATCAATGACAACATACCCTGCTATTAAGACTATGGTTATTGTTTTTGTTAATAACAAGTAAGTTAGAAAGAGTGTGCATTTCTCATTTTAATTGGAATCCTGGTATGTTGGGACACAAAAATTATAGTAGTTTTCGTAAAATAACTTTATATCAGGGAAGCTTATAGACCTAAAAAATTGCTTTACTTTCTTCTATCCCAAAGAGGAAGCTGATAGTTTGAATGTTTTCCATGCACTCAAACCTGGATTTTAAGAGCTTGACATGTACTGAAAATTGCTGCAACACAAAGTCTGGTCTTAAAACAGCCTATAAGATTTCTTATCACATTGCCAAGACAAACAAATGAATATTGAGGGTTATTGAAACCACATGTCCTAGAAATTTTGGAGCTGGTTTTCACTTTGGTCAGAATGTACAAATCTGTGTCAGTTCTTCCATCACTGTTCAGAATCAATGGCATCCTTTTAAAATTGTGTAAAAGGTACTGGAGGGTTGGCAGCCACACTATCTGTGATTAATACACAACTGGATAAAAGTATGGATGGTTCTCAGAGCAGCAAGTTTCTAGTTTAGATCTATCAAGAGGTCTTTTTGAAAACTGCATCGGTTGTTGAAGTCTTTGAATTATGGAAAATATCTCTTACCAACTAAACTTCTAGTGGCAGAAAAATTCTATTATTTTCAGCATGTGTGGAACAACTTTAATTCTTGACTGCAATGCAGTGCTATTGTGTTGGTAAAGAATGGAGCTAAGTGATACACCTTGACTCATTGCTTCATTTATTAGTATTCATGGTTGGCAAAATCTCTAGCATATCCTGGTAGAATTAGTGCTTAAGGCCATGAAGTTTGATGAGCTTTATCAAACCCAGGGTCTTAAATTACTGCTTATACATAGGCTTTTGTCAAAAAAAAAAAAAAGATAAAGTAAAAAAACCTAATATTAAGTTACTCTCAAAAAAAAAAAAACCTAATATTAAGCTACTCTCAAAAAATGTAGAATTTTATTGGCTTTCTAGAAAAAAAAAGATACTTAGAGTAGTTCATTGAACTTCAGGAAAAATTTTTGCTTTTATGTAAGTGAAGGGAAAGCCCATTTCAGAACACTTATGAGAGAGAGATTTATTCATAGAATCTTTGGAAGATATTTTTGGCCATATGAATGAAGCAGATCTTCTGAATCAAGGCTTTGAATTAACTATTTTGAATGATACTAAAGCTTTGTGAACAATTCTGAATAAACTGCCATTTTAGAAGAGGAGCTTGGATACAAACAACTTTGCAAACTTTCAAATGTGGAAGGAAGAACTTCTAAAGACTGGTGTCCTAAATAACTGAGCATGCATGCTTTTCCGCAGTCAAAAATCTGCATATACATTTTGCAAGTTTTAATGGCAATTCTGCACAGAAGGCTTTTAAATTCTCCTTCTTACTATCAAATATTGCAATAGCTTGCAGTAATTTAAATATTTTTTAAAATAGTTAATTCTTTCTCTTTTAGTTCTTTGATCTTTTGGAAATTATTTTGTTAAATTACATGAATAAGGAATCTAATTAATTTTCTTATTTATACTAAATGCTCCCTATTTCATTTGTTGAGTGCATATGTTTCTCTTTGTTTTCAGATGCTTATTTTAAAAATTATATATCCAGTTATTATATGGTAAAGACATTTGACCACATAATGATACATTTTTGATATGAAAGAACAGGATAAAAAAAGTAGAAAAAATGAGACACAGGAATAAGGAAAGAAGGAAGAGAAAGAACATTGAGCATTGTGTTAAGGAACTTTACATAAAGTATATGTAATTTATTTTATATGAATTAATTGTTTTAGATACTTTTATGAACATGTTTTACACATTAGGAAAATGAAGTGCAGAAAGGTTAGTAGCCGATAATTTAGGCAGAGATATATAGGGAGAATTGCCCAAATAAATTATTATGAAAAACTAAACCAATATGGTGGGAAATTGGGTGTAATCTATTCTGTATGCAAATGTATTTCCTCTGATTTTTAAAGAACACATTGAAATTTTATAGAAACAAAGATTAATATGAAGTTTTGTTAACTCAGGTAAGTAACATAGTGGCTAGCCCATCATTAGTACTGCAGTAAATTATTTTAACTTCATCTTTACTCATTCTGGTCCTTGTTGCCATAGTGTGTTATTGAATGTATCTCTCACAAAGACACTAGGTGGAGAATGCCCATCACCACCATCCTTCATTTATCCAAGATTTGTGACATTCTAAAGACTGGATAATTGTCATTTCTTGATGCTATGATATCCCAATCTTTGAAATAAATACACTCATTCTAATGGCATATTTAAAGAGAATCAAAGTAGTATTTTATAAATTATTTTATTTGAAATAAATTAACATTTGTTGAAAATTTTTGTTGTTGAAAACTCTTTTGAATTAAACCTTCCATATTTCTCTAGTATAATGTAATCATTCAATGTCAACCATAATCTTTTCCCACACACTACTTTGACAAATCTTGTTCTGGAATATTCTCTTATTCGGCCATATGGAAAAGAATTATTGCAGGAAAAAATCAAGTATTTGTTTATTACCTCACTCAACCTATATATTTGAGTGGCATCATATATGTATCAAAACATTGGGTTATACTATGTATTCTGTTTGATATATTTTTAGATGACATTATATCATGAAAATATATTCTGAGTTATTTTTGTCATTATGGAAATTTCAAATCTATACAAAATAGATATAATTACATAATAAATCCCAATGTACCTACCACTCAACTTCAATAATAAACATTTAGCCAATTGTGTTTTATATATGTCTAAATCCACTTTCCCACTCCCACAATGGGCTCTTTACAGCAGATTATAGGCCTTATATCATTCCACTAACAAATACTTCAGTATGTGTGTCTAAGAATTGTGACTTTTCAAAAAGGCACAATGCCATAATGCCATTATCACCCCACATCATTTTAAAGAATTCCTTAGTACAATCAAATATATCTAGTCAGTGTACACATTTCCATGATTGCCTCATAAATGATTGTTTTATAGCCTGTTTTATAAATCAGCATCCAAAGTCTTCATATGGAATTTGTTTTTATTTTTACTTGTCTCTTATAATCACTCCATCTCATCCTATTTCTCCCCTAGTCATTACTTTACAGGAAAATTTCAAAAGGTTTATATTATTGCACTTGATGGACATAGCATGATTTATTCAAGCATTTCACTATTATTGAGCATTTAGCTTATTTCCAATTTTCTCCTATTAAACAATGTTCCAATGAATATGCATATAAATAAATATTTGAGCACACCTAGAATTATCCTATTAGGATAAATTCTTAGAAGTGGAATGCCTCATGGGTTTTTTTTAAGCTTTTGATACAGCTTGTCAAATTACTCTTCAAAATGATTGAGCTAATTTACACTCCTACCAGCAGTATGAGAGTATCTATGCCCCCACACCCTCATCAACACTGCATAATGTCTTTATTTTAAATATTTGCCAATTTGATAGACCAAAAAGATAGCTTGCTGTTTTAATTTGCATTTGTTGGATTAATAGCAAAAAAGAGTGCCCTGAATACCTGAATCCTTGTTTAATGTTTACTGAGGCCATAAAACCACTTTCTGATAAGTCCACGAGGTGATATATGTTTAAAGGGCAAGGCCAGGAAAATGTACACTTACACTACTAGCCTGAAGCAGAAAATCTGTCTCTAGTGAGTCTATAAACAGAAAAGATTTATTTATTTATTTATTATTTGTTCATTTATTTTCTTAGTCTTGAGGTAATTTTAGGTGCTTTTAAAAATGTCTCTCCCTAACTTGGTCTCGCTAGAATTATGACACTTTCCAAATGAGATGCAGCTCTAGACCCATCATATTGCATCAGGCATACCATTTCAAAAATGTGTAGTCCCTAAATGTCCTTTATTTTCTTTGTCACACATAGACACACAATCACACTTGATATTATGACCAAATTGCCACTAAAGCATATTCCTGTCTAGCAGCAATGTTCCTCCTTCCCTAGGGTAGAACTCCTGGGGATTGGACATAAGATAAAGTGGTATAGATTGTGATAGGGAAGAACTGACTTCTAGAGTATGGCATATGCAGCCAACAGCAAGGTTAAATTCTTTTTCTATATGATTTTTGGTCATTAGAGTATGTCTTTTCTGAAGCACATGCTCATTTTCCTTGCCAATCAATGCATGATGAACAAGTGAAAGAATGAATGATTACATTTTGGGTATAGTCTTTCGACCAGTTACAAATCAACCAAAGTGCACTGCCTTTTAGTCCATATTTCATTCTCTTGTCAACTTTTATTGCTAGATCTATCCAGTCAGTAGCCATCTATTTTAAAGCAGGCTTTATGTCTAACTTCTTTCTCAAAATTCTTCAAAACAACTTAAATAGCCAGGGTCTTACCTTACACTGTAAGTGGGGCCAGGCAATGTCCCATGGTCTAAATGGCAATAGACCAAAAATCATAGAATTACTGATGGTGAGTTTTCTTCCTTCAGTGTTGTGTGATTAAGAGGGTCTTTCCTTGTGAGAATAATATAACTATGGGCCTTCCGGGTTAACCCAAGCCACTCCCTTCTCCCAGGACATTCCTCCAACAGTCATCTCCTCTCTCTCCCTCTCTCTCTCTGTGGTCATCAGTCTCACTCTGAGAAGAACTGCAATAACAAAGCTCTGTATCCCATCTTTTCACAACTGACTTGAATATAAAATACTTTTTTATAGTGCTTTACTTATCCACAGAAGTTGTGCTCTGTAGAAAATGTAGACTTGGAAAATTACGATGTGCTGGTAGTTAATCTCTTTATACAAATCATATTGTGCATCGTCAACAGAATTTAGATAATAGGTAGAGAGTCGGATAGATATCATCCTTTATGGCCTACAGAACAGCCTTTCCTAAACGGTTCTCCATGGAACCCTAGAACTTTTAGATTAGTAATCAGTATGCATGTGGTCAGATACATTTTGGAAATGCTTCTTGAATTTGTTCCACTTAAGATTTATAATATATGTAATATTAGTATATTAAGCTCCCTGAGAAATTTTTCATTAAAGAAAAATTACTTACTTCATGTAACCAGAAGTTTTCAAGTTTATTTGAAGATGGAATTAGGCATTTTATTTTATTTTATATTTTATTTTAACGGAGTGCCCAATAATATTTTCTACAGAGTAGTTTGGGCAGACCATAGTAAAATATACATGGACATATTTGGAATGGCACATCAGAAAATGTTTTGACTTAGTATAGCTTTTTGGTCAGTATAACTTTCCTTACCTCTCCTTTGTTCTCTCTCAAACTCTCCACCTCCAATCAGGTACATTATATTCATTAATATCAACGGTCTTATGTCTCTTTACAAAGTGCTTTACAATACTTCCAAGCACATGCTGTCACTATCTCTAAAATATTTTTCCTCAATTTCACCCACAAATTCCCACACATTTTTAACACCTATCTCGTATGATATCTATTCATCAAGACCTGCCTAGATTTCAAATTTTATACTCTTTTAATATTGGATACCATCAATTAAAATTTATCCCTTTATAATATTCCATTCATACTATATTACCTTTATAGTTATCTGTTTCCCCTTAGACTGTTTTCTCCTTGAGATGAGAAATCACATCTTATTCATTACTTTATACCCACCAACCAACAGATTGTCTGGCCATAGAAGGTAACGATTTCATGAGACAATTCATTTGCTCATTCAACAACATTCTTTACGTTGAGTTATAAGGAGCATACATATCATGGTAATCAGTTCCAAATGTGCGTCTCCTTGCACTATCTCAAGACTGCATTATGCTTCCTCAATGGAAAACAAGCAAAAATGGTTTGATTTCTCCCCATGGAAATGATGAAAAGTCTTTTTGCCTAAATGTCTGGGTGGTTCTGTTAATTTGGCTGTTATTGGAGCCAGGAAACTATGAACTCATAGAATTAGAAAAGACATTCAAGTCATCTATTAAATAATTTTTACCACTCTTGTCACTTCATTTATCATAGAGCTTGTTTGGAGTTTTCTTTTTTTGTTTTTAAAAGTATTTTTAATTTCAGTTTTATTGTGCATTTTTGCACCCATAGAAGTACATTAAAAGATCTATGAAACTAACTGCCGAACAGCCATAAATTCACTAGCCACAAGATCTCTTAAAAATCACTGACACTTTCTAGAAACTGTTCTCTGTGTAATCTTCATAGACGAAATAGGTGAACAGTAAGCCAAGATGTGTGTGGCAGAGAGGGAATGCTGTCAGATATGGCTCTAGCATCTACAGTATTTTATACTTTGTCTGTTCTTCCTAAATTGACACTTGATAATAGGCACAGTATGCTCATGAATGATGAAGAAAATTATTCAATGTGCTGTCTTTTAGTCACCTTGTAATTAACGGCTAGTACATTTGATAAGTCACAAGGGAATCAGTAGTCTTTGTTAAATCATTTGAAAAAAATTACTCCTCAGTGATCATTATCAACTCAGATATTCAGAAACCAAAACCCACCCAGAAAAAACTCATTTTTAATGTTTCTATGTTTAGTTGTAGGCACTCTACTTGAAGAAATAAAATGTCACATATTGTGTGAATCATTTGCATTATGTCGGGCTAGAATCAGGAACAAGAAGCAACAAGAATTTCATGAAGTTGGAGCGATTGACAGTCACTCTGCAAAGTTATCGGGCATCATCCAAGTTGCATAATTTCAATTTAACTGTTTCATCTAGAACAACAATAATAGCCAATCTCCACTGTTAACTCATTTCCATTCATTTATTGATCCATCACAGCATTCAGTCAATTATGCAGTAAAAATAGGTATTGAATGTTTACTATGGGCATGACGGTGTATAAGTCACATGTTGCTTTTATAGCCTTTAATGTTAAGGACTTTGAGGTTCTGCACATGTCAAGGACATACAGACTAGTGATTCAATGTAGAGAAAGTAATTGCTTTAAAAGTAACATATTTAAGGACAGAAAAAGCATCAAGCTTAGAGGAACTTAGCAGAACTACTCCACTGTGTGTATATGCAAAATATACTGAGTAACCGTATGTCTATGCTGTCCCATAGGTACCACTAGCCATAGGTGGTTATTGAGCCTGAAATGTGGCTAATTTTAATTTTGACCGGATGCACGTGTATAATATACATATAATTATGAAGACTTAGTATTAAAAAATAAAGTAAAGCATGTTATTTACAATTTTACATTGATTAATTTTTAAAATGATAATGTACAGGATATACTGGATTAAGTAAAACATATTTTCTCTAGATCTGTGAAAAATTATGCTGGTATTCTAATAGGGATGGTATTGAATCTATAGATCACTTTGGGTAGTATAGATAGTTTAACGATGTTGATTCTGCCAACTAATGAGCATAGTATGGTTTTCCACCTGTTTATATCCTCTGCTGTTTCCTTCCTCAGTGTTTCATAGTTCTCCCTGTATAGGTCTTTTACCTCCTTACTTAAATATATTCCTAGGTATTTCACTTTCTTTGTTGCTATTGTGAAGGGTGTTGAGTCTTTGATTTCATTCTCAGTTTGACTTTTGTTGGTGTATAGGAATGTTACTAATTTGTGTACATTGATTTTGTAACCTGAGACTTTGCTGAATTTGTTTATCAATTCCAGTAGTCTCATGGCAGAATCTTTGGGGTTTTTCTAGATATAAGATTATATCATCAGCAAAGAGTGATAGTTTGACCTCTTTTGCCCCCATTTGGATGCCCTTGATTTCTTTCCCTTGTCTGATGGCTCTGACTAGGACTTCCAACATTATGTTGAATAGAAGCAGTGATAGAGGGCAACCTTGTCTGGTTCCAGTTCTAAGCCAAAATGCTTTCAATTTTTCCCCATTTAGGATGAGGTTGGCTGTGGTTTTGTCATATATGGCTTGTATCATTTTTAGGTAAGTTCCATCTATGCCTATTTTGTTAAGAGTTCTTATCATAAAAGGGTGTTGAATTTTGTCAAATGATTTTTCTGCGTCTATTGAGAGGATCATATGCTCTTTGTTTTTGCTACTATTTATATGGTGAATTACATTTATAGATTTGTGTTTGTTGAACCATTCCTGATTCTTTGGGATGGAGCCCACTTGCTTGTGATGCATTTTTTTTTCTTTTGATAAGCACTTGAATTTAGGATTTGTTGAGAAAATAGGATTTTGTTGAGAATTTTTGCATCTATACTCATAAGGGATATTGGTCTGTAGTTTTCTTTTTCTGTTCTATCCTTTCCTGGTTTTGGTATCAGGGTGGCATTGGCTTCATAAAATGTGTTGGGGAGAATTCCTTCTTCTCAATGTTGTGGAATAATTTCTGCAGGATAGGCAACAGTTCTTCTTTGTAGGTCTGGTAAAGACATTTTATAAAAAATACATCTGCACTAGAATGTTTATTGCAGCACAATTCACAATTGCAAAGATGTGGAAACAACTCACAGTGCCCATCAATACATAAGTGGATTAATAATGTGGTTATAGTTATTATATATATATATATTATATATATAATATATAATATATCATAGAGATCTACTCAGCCACCAAAAACAATGGTGATATAGCATCTCTCGTATTATCCTGGATAGAGCTAGAACCCATTCTACTAAGTGAAGTATCTCAAGAAGGGAAAAACAAGCACCACATGTACTCACCAGCAAATTGGTATTAGCTGATCACTATATATGCACTCATTGAGTGTTGGACAGATGGGAGAGGGGAGGAGGGGATGAGTATATACACACCTAATAGGTACAGTGTGCACTATCTGGGGGATGGGCACACTTGAAGCTCTGACTTGGGTAGGGCAAGGACAATGTACATAACCTAAACATTTGTATCCCTGTAATATGCTAAAATTAAAAAAAATAAAAATAAAAGTAAAACATTATTAATATTAATTTCACTTGTTTCTCTTTACTTTTCTCATGTGGCTATCAGATAATTGTAAATTACATATATTGCTTGCATTATGTTTCTATTGGCTTTCAGTTGTAGAGATGATTTGTGTCCCTGGCATTTATTGTGGGTTGGCTCACACATCTATTTCTATAATATAAAGGCTAAAACTAAAAATTACTTTCCCCCAAATTTCTTGCAGCTGTGGTTTCTGAGATGATTTGGTACTATTAATCAGAAACACAAGCAAGAGGCTGAAATTAGGACTAAAACGGAAGGATACAAGCTATGGACATCCATTTTTCTGGTCTAGATCTTAGGAGAAGTGGCAGGGGGCAGGGTTCTGAGCTAACAGCTGTGTCATTGGACTCCCAATTGTAACAGCAAATTTCTTGAATGAGGCAGAATAATCAACCCCCTTGATGGCTCATTTCTAATTGTGTAACTTCAGGAATCAATCTTAGGATGTTCTTTTAGCCTTGTCAACAATTGTATAAGTCATTTAACAACCTATAATAACTCTATGTCTTCTTAAATTAGCTAAAGTTGATTCATTCTCTGCAACTGAGCCCTTCCCCAGCAAGGTTGGCAGAATAGGCATTATCCAGTGAACATTAAATATACACATTAAAGCACACACATATACAAATAACTTGTTAATATCTCTTTTTATGTTACCTCTTATAGGTAGAGATGTATAGTAGAAGGACATTTAATAATCATTGAATGCATTTACATAAAATAAGGAAATAATAATCAAAAATGTTTTAAAGTCTCATGTTACACTTTTTAATGTGATCTCTTTCTTTAAGCCATGATAAACTCCAAAGAATTGCAAAAATCATATTGTTTTCTATAATATAATGTATATATCAGTGTGTTTTCTCAGTAAGTGCTTGGCTCTGAGTATTCTTCCTTATATCAGAAATGTAGGCTATCTCCTTCCATTGTAACTACTCACATTGATTTTGATATAACAGAATTAATTCAAACCTTTTAGAAATGACAGCAGACCTTTTTAAAATGACATTGTCCTATTCGACCACCTAAGGGTTTGAGACCTTGATTTACCATTAAGTTCATGGCTTGGCATGTTACCAATAAAATAAAAAAGTATCTGTAAAAGCTCCAAAAAGTTCACATCAAGCAATGTCTGGCCATAATCAAGCATCTGCAGATGGAACAAAGGACAAATGCTTTCAGCATTGAGCTGGCCCTGCTCTCCCACTGGCCAAAGTCTACCAAAGTCACAACTGCCTTGGGACCTTAAGTGCTGCAAGTCAAAAGAAATGCCAGGCCATGTGATAGAAACAAAACAAAACAACAAAACAGAAACAAACAAAAAATAGCACCGACGTGTTGTCTAGTTTAATGTTCCCAGATAATTAGCTTTAGAGGAGGGCTTTGAATTTTCTGTTCCTTTCCAGCATACATATTTTTAGCTTTCTAAATTGCTGGTGATCATACTAATAACTACTTTGTGCAAACAGAAGAGACATAACTTCTATAACTATTTGCAGTCTCAGTCTGGCCAGTCTTTTGCATAATTATTTTCCATTTTTAGCTACTACTCCAATTTTAGTACCATTGCCCCACTCCTCATACACTAACTGCTTAAGCAGAAAGGGTGAGCTGAAGAACTGCAAAAATGTCAGTGTGTAGATGTTCTTGCTTTTAAGAGAGATGACTTTATAAAGGGGAATAGGAACAGAGAGAGAGTGGCTGGAAGAAGATGCAGTGTTAAGTGTGAGATTTTTGGTGTGTGCAAGACTGTGTGTACGTGTATAGCCATGTATGTGTTTTAAGATGGGAGATACTTCAGATCTCGCTAACTTAAGTATAACTGAAAAAATAAAAATAAATAAAAATAGATCGGAGATAAAAGAATCAGATTGATCATAATGATCTAAAAGAGAGATAGGATGAAGATGCAGGAGAGAGGAAACTAGGCTTTGGGAAATAGAATTTGATCACACTGGTCCATGCCCTCACCATAGGCAATACTGTTATAAGGCTTCATTTAATTCAGATAAATAGAACTTTATAAGATGTAATTTTAAAAGCCTTTTGTATGTGTAAATACTTAACTGAGCCCTTAGGTATGATTAATACTGCAGTGGACTTGACCCAAAGTGAAATCATTATAACCTATGCAGTTCATGTCTTGGAGTGATTCATTCCTACAGGAGATAGAGGAATAAAGAAAATTGTATAAATACAATGATCAATCTGAACAAGGAATTGGAAGGTTTAAAACTCATTTTTGGCTCTCAGGTGAAGACCATCCATAGATTCCCAGCATATGTAGCCTGATTTCAATTAATCTGTTAACGTAGACCAACACTTCTCTCTGACCTCAGGGATCTAGTTCCTACCTGGACTCAATGATGCCATGAGAAAGCATTTCAGCATTAGTAGCAACCCACTGAGGCATCATAGCTATTCCTGTAAAACTCCTAGAGTCCTCTCATCTTATTGCTGTTAATTACCCTGAATAGCTGGGCAGTGTGAGGCATGTCTTCTCTCATGGAAGACTTTAAGAATATGAAATTTTTCTTTTATTTCTTCTTGGTCCCTCAAACCATACTTTATGTCCCTCTTTCATATATTTTAGAAACTTATCCAATCTCCAAAAAGTCAGTATACTAGGAAAACCTCCGAATCACTTTCAAATGTCTACCCAGTTGGGATTGTCCCACCCACCCCCTAACAACTGAATATTTTCTTCCTTTACAAACTAAACTCCCATTCATCATAGCAATGGCTTAAAACGGGTGTTAGCAGGAAAACAACATTCTGAAATTTTTTTACAGTAGGGCTGAATTTTAAGGAAATTGGCTCTACTGCTGAATGTTCTCAGAGAGTTGAACATTTTTTTTTTTATTATTAAACATGCTATATAAGGGAATCCTATGTTTGATGGGAGGTTGGACTAGACCCCAAGGTCCTTTCAATCTCTAAAATTGGAAGTTATGAGTAATCTGTGGACCACTCAACTTTCTCAGTGTAATACATGTTTTTAAAAGAAGGTTGAGATGATGAATATAGAGTTAGTTCTAGGGGCCCATTCCCAGCTTAAAAACTGTTGAAGGGAAGACAGATCATATTTCTATTGCTATTTCCACACCTGACTTAACACAAGCCCCTGGAAGACAATAATATATCATCTTTTTACTCAGTCAGGGTCAGATAAAGTTTATAAAGTTCAACAAA